TTCAGGGTACAAACCAACTTTTTTCGGCGCCTGCGGCGAGCATCTTGTTCATTCGTTCCTGGTGGAGAACCCGCGGCCCACTCGCGACCCAAACCACGTTCAGTGTACAAACCAATTTTTTCGGCGCCTGCGGCGGGCTGCTTTTGCAGGAGGACGAGGAGGGGGAGGAGGAGGAGGAGGAGGAGGAGGAGGAGGAGGAGCAGCAGGAGGAGGAGAGCAGCAGGAGGAGGAGGAGGGAGGGGACGACGACGATGACGTCGACGACGACGACGACGACGAAAAGGAGGAGGGTGGAGGATCGGGAGGGGGGGAAGAGGAGGAGGACGACGAGGAGGAACATGACGACAATGGGAGGACGATGATGGAAGGACGAGGGGGGGAGAGGGAGGACGAGGAAGAAGCGGAGGAGGAGGAGGAGGAGGACGAGGTGGAGGAGGAGGACGACGATGACGATGAGAACGAGGACGAGGACGAGGAAGAGGAGGAGGAGTAGGAGGCGGAGGAGGAGGAGGAAGAGGAGGAGGAGGAGGAGGAGAAGGAGGAGGAGGAGGAGGAGGAGGAGGAGGAGGAGAGCGCCATCGACAAGGAAGGTGGGGGCCACGAGTTCCGCCGGCTTGACGACGCCCGCGTCGCCCGCGCCCGCCCCCTCACTCTTATCCGCAATTGCGGGGTGCTATATATTTGAAACTCGGCGGTGCCCCTTACGCTGATCGTCCTCCTCCTCCTCCTCCTCCTCCCTCCTCCTCCTCCTCCTCCTCCTCCTCCTCCTCCTCCTCCTCCTCCTCCTCCTCCTCCCCCTCCGCCTCCCCCTTTCCCTCCCTTCTCATACGCAGGCACCCCCTACGCTGATCGTCGTCATCGTCCTCCTCCTCCTCCTCGTCAGCTGACCGCGCGCAGGGGAGGGACCGCGGGCCTCCAGCACCTCGCCGAGCAGCACCAGAGGTGTTACATGGCGCTGTTTACTGCGCGACCCATGGCGAAACCTTCGTTACCCTGTGTTGGAATGCCTGGCGCAAGCCATGGCGCAAGCCATGGCGCAAGCTGCATCGCAACTCACGGCGCAAATCATCGTTGTTCCTCCCTCCTGCGCCTCTAATCCTTCCCTTCCTCCGATCCCTTCGTCGTCTCTTTGGGTATGTTTCCCTTTGGGGGTAGGGTCGAAGACGAAAAGGGCGGGTATCCAGGGTTTGGGATATGCATAGTGAACGGCACGCGGGCCGGTAGGAGCGAACAGTCTTGGAATGCTTGTTGTTGTTGTTGTTGTTGTTGTTGTTGATGGTGGTGGTGCTGGTGCTGGTGCTGGCGCTGGTGTTGTGGTTGTGTTATCACTTCTGATAAATATATATTGTTGATCCCCCCACCGGTGCATACTGTATGTTCTCAATCAAAGTGTGCCCCTCGACGCTCACACCCTGTTTTTTTGACAGGGAAAGTCTTCTGCTCAAACTGGGCCCCTGGCCCCCAGGATTACAACAACAATGGTTCCCGTCTGAGACTTCTTCCAAATTGACTCAGGGCCCCACCGCTCGTGAGATTTTCTCAATTTACTCAGGATCGGTGCTCCCGGCTGTCACTTCCTCACAATTTACTCAGGACCCGCGCTCCCGTCTGAGATTTCCTCACAATTTACTCAGGGACGGCGCTCCCGCTTGAGACTTCGTTGCAATTGAACTTAGACTCCCTCGCAATTTAATCAAGACCCCCGCTCCCGCCAGAGAGCCCCCTACATTTGATTCAGGAATTGTGCTCTCGCTTGTCATTCCCATGCAATTCATTCAGAAGTCGCGCTTTCGACGCTCAGGAAACACGCTGCGACAAGGACGCCGCTACACTTTACTTAGTAATCGCGCTCTCGCCATACTCATGAATCCCGCTTGAATGTTCCACCCGCCCGACCCGCCCGTCAGGGGATAGCCCGCCCGTCGTGGGCTCCCGCCCGAGACTTCCTTCAGAAACGGCGTTTTCGCCTAGGATTTCCTCGAACTTTCACGCTCTTACTTTCCTGCTCCTCCTCCCTCTCCCTCCTCCTTCCTCCTCTCCTCCCTTCTCTCTCCCTCCTCTCTTCCCTCATCCTTATGCCTCTCTGCCATATCCCCTCCCCCTCCTCTCCCACCTCCCTTTACCCTCCCCTTTCCTGCCTCCTCCCTCCCTCTATCATTATTTGGTTTCTCTCTCTCTCTCTCTCTCTTCTCTCTCTTTTTCTTTACATATATTATATGTTTTTTTGTCTCTCTCTCTCTCTCTTGTCCCCTCTGCCTCTAATCAACCGCCCCCTCTTCGCTTCTTCTCTCCTGGCGTTTTCCCTCTTCCTTCGTCCCCCCCCCCTCCCTTCTTCCCACTCTCCTTCGTTATCCCCTTCTTTTGCAGGTCCCACACCAATCCCAATGGCGGGCACATGTACGCCCACGAAGCATTGTCCGTCCGTTCAGGTTTGCCCGCCTGTCTAAGCCCGCCGCCACCCGCAAAGAGAAATAATGTCCCCAAAGGAGATGTGATCGAACACAAAAAGGGCACACGGGCAACTAAGAGCGATCAGTCTTAGTAGGATTGCGGTTGTTGATGATGATGGTGGTGATGACGTTGTTGTTGTTGTTGCTGTTGTTGTTGTGCTTGTTGCTTGTTGTGTGTTGTTGTTTGGCGTCGTCCCCCCCGCGACACGGCCCGCGACCCACCCGCGACGCCCCCCCCCGGGACCCGCCCGCGGCCCACCCGCGACCCACCCGCGACCCACCCCGCGACCCGCCCGCCCGCCCACCCGCGACCCACCCCGCGACCCGCCCGCGACCCACCCGCGACCCACCCCGCGACCCACCCACATTGTTTGAACGACGAGTCGGCGCCTGCGGCGGGCCCGTCCTATGATTTGTAAACTTACGGCGCCTGCGGCGGGCCTCTTCAGAGCGTCGCAGACTGCCGACGTCACCGCGACTGTGGGGTGCTACATAACATGCTGTCCACATGTCGTTTGACACTTGTTGCCTCTTGAGATCCTCTTGCGACGCCCCCCTTGGACCTCTCTTGGGGCGTGGTGGGCGCCTCTTCAGTTGTATTCATGTCACTGTTGGGCGTTTTGGACCAATCGTTTGACGATCGCAGGCCCTCTTGGATCGTCCCGGGGGCCTCTTGGGGCGCTCTTGGCCCGTTTTGGGGCCGTCGCTTGCCAGAACCCTCAGGAGTGAGGACTGAGGTTTAATTTGCTTAGACCAACTACCTGAGGACACTCCCATTCGTGCCTCGGGGCGGAGGTATGTCCATGTCCGCCGCCCGCTAGGGTTCCAGGGCTTTGGTTCCCCAGGCCGTGGATGTGCACAAATCCCCGCCTCGCAGGAGGGGGGGGGGGCGGGAGGGGAACGGGATGATAGGAGCTGGGAGAGGAGAGGGGGGGCGCGGGAGGAGAGTAATGAATGAGGCAGGAGTGAGGAGGCGGCGGAGGAGGAGGAGGAGGAGGAAGAGGCGGAGGAGGAGGAGGAGGAAGAGGAGGAACAGGAGGAGGAGGAAGAGGAGGAGCAGGAGGAGGAACGGGGAGAGATGAGGAGGAGGACAAGCGAGATGCGTCCGCACCATGACCGACATTCCACCCCTCATACCCAGTCCTTCCCATCGCGCAGATTTGTTATCTATCCGCTGGGCTGTGTCATTTCGGACCTGGATACCCAAAGTGGCCCCGTCGTGTGATTCGCAATCAGGAAGGGGAGCTGCGTACATTGGAGGAGGAGGTGGCAGATAATTAAGAAGGACGATGCGCATGGTGTAGAAGACGAGGACTGCAGCAGGATCAGGAGCAGGAGTAGGATGAACGAATATAGCAGGACGACGAAGGTTGAGGAGATCTGTTCCGGAAGCGTGGCCCGCCTTTGGGGCGAGATTGTCGCTACGAGCGACGGGGGGAACGCGCCGATGCTGAAATGGGATCACAGTTGAACCGTTGCAGCGGGAACACCATTTCGAACAAATACAGTTGGATGGAGCGAATTAATTTATGTGGAACATTAAGTGTTGTCATCCTGCGCGTAAGCAAGCAGTATGCGGGAGAAACGGCGACCCGCTCGAATAGTATTCGGGGAGAGGAGCGTAGCATTTAGATTTAACCTTTGTGGAGAAGGAGGAGGAGGAGGAGGAGGAGGAGGAGGAGGAGGAGGGGGAGGAGGGGGAGGAGGGGGAGGAGGGTGGAGGAGGGTGGAGGAGGTGGCAGGCGGGGAGGAAGAGGTGAACGATGTGGAGGAGGAGGAGGATGCGAAGGAAGACGAGGACGGATGAGGCAGGGGAGAAGGAGGAGGAGGTGAAGGAGCAGGAGGAGGCTGATGATCAAAACAGCAAACGATGAGAAAGAAATGTTAACGAAGCAGGGGAGGAACAGGAGGATGAACACGTCAGAATGATGATGAGTAGGATGAAGAGGAGAAATACCAACCTATGATTGAGTCGGAGGGAGGATGGGTAGGGAGGAGGGATGAGGGAGGAGCCAACTCATAACTAACAAATCATGCAGGAAGAGGAAGGACGATTTGCTCCATTCTCCAGCATGGCTTTCCAGACCCAGCAACGCCCGTCTCTCCCATGGAGGTCAGACACTATCATGTTCCTCCTGCTGCTGTGTATTGTTGTCCTCCTCTTCCTCCCCCCGTATCCTCCTGATCCTTCCTCGTTCGCCTCCTAGTCCGTCTCCTCATCCTCCTCTTCATCCTCCTGTTCTTCCTCCTCCTCCTTCTCCTCTTCATCGTGATCGTCCTCACTCTCTTCGCCCGCCCTCTTCCCTTCCTTGTTTCTCCCACACTAGTCTCCGTCCCACTGTTGCTCCACTCGGTCCTCCTGCTTCCTCTCTGCCTCCTCCTCGTCCGGGCCCCTCGTCTTCATCCTTGTCATCCCCCCCCCCTCATCCTCCCGTTCCCTCCTTTCTCTCTCCGCCCTCAAACGTTGACCTCCCGCCCATGGCTCTCCCTCCCCCACCGTCAACCCCCCCTCCCCCTCCCCCCCCTGCCCCCCCTCCCGCCCCTCTTCTTCCCTCGTCCACCCTCCGCGTCCGCCCATTCCCCCTCCCGCATCCGCGTTCCTTTCCACTGGCTCCTCCCCCAAAAAATGGTATACACTCATCCGCCCTCCTCCTCTCTGAGAGCAGTGCAGGCTTACACCTTAGACGCGCAGCCCTGCAACCATGATGAACAGCACGGAGGAGGGCGACACCAATATGAGCAACGACGCCGGCGGCCCAGCGGCACCGCCGACTCCCGAACGGTACACTCGATGGCGCCTCGTCGTCCTCGTCTTGCTCGTCCCCCTGCTCGTGCTCCTGATGCTGCTGCTCTTGCTCCTGCTGCCGCTCCTCCTGCCATCGTCCTCTTCCGTCCTCCTCCTCCTCCTCCTCCTCCTCCTCCTCCTCCTCCTCCTCCTCCTCTTACTGGCCCACCCTGTTGCTGCTGTTCCTTTCTCTCTCTTTCCCCGTCCCCTCCGCCTCCTCCCACTACTCCCATTGCTTTCTCAGGCAGAGGTCGAGGCAGCCCCAAGTCTCAGGCGCATGCGTTCCGCGGTGACGCCCACGACGGCGCCAAAGACGACGACGGTGCTGGCGGCGACTACGAAATTGACGAGGGGGCTGCTAAAGGTGCCCCCATCTCGGGGGTTGCTAAAGGTCCCCCTGGCCCACAGTGCCCACCGTTTTGAAGCCCCAGGGGCCCTTTGGGCCTCGTGATGGGTTGCTCTGGAGGCTGTGGGGGCCTCCCCGAAAATCCTCGGGGCACCTTGGGTCAGGGGCGCTTCTAGCAGCACACGACCGGCAAATGCGTTGAACATCGTCCCCGGAACCCTCCCGGGGTCCGCCGAGGGCGCAGGGCGGTCTGCAGTCTCGAGACCTCTGCAGGCGGCGGTATGTACACGTTTTCTTTTCAATTATATATATATATATATATATATATATATATATATCGGAGTAGGCCGGGGGGGGGGCCGGGCCGGTGCCGTCATCCCCCATGGGCGCCCCCCAGAACCTTTGGGGGGTCACAGACCTCCTGGGACTGCCCCGGGCCGCTTCCAAATTGCCCACGACAGGCCACGCGGGCCGTACAGATGATCAAGAAAGCCTCAAGAGGCCCCGAAGACGCCCAAGAGCGCCCCAGGAGGGCCCGAGATGACTTGAAGATGGCCGACGAGGGCCCCGAGAGGGCCTTCAAGAGGCAAACATATGCCCATCCCCATACTCGCAATTTTAGTACACTTCGCTGGCTTCGTTTTCACAGTGCCCCAGACGCCCCCGCGGAGCCCCAACACAGCCCAAGAGAGACCCAAGAGGGCCCCAGACGGCCCAAAAGGGTCGGCCTGTGGGGCTGACGGGCCCCCCCGAGACGGCCCAAGAAGCGCCAAAGCCGGCACAGGAGGCCCCCAAGACGGCCTCCAGGAGGCCCAATAGGGCCTCGTTCGAAATCATGTTCCCGGAAGCTTCTCCAGGAACATGGTTTCCGGGCTCCCAGGACGCCCAAGAGGCCCACAAGACAGCCTCAGCGAGGCCCAAGAGTGCCCGAGATGGCTTGAAGATGGCCGAAGAGGGCCCCGAGAGGGCCTTCAAGAGGCAAAAATCAGCCCGTCCCCTTTCAGTAAAACGTGCATTTTCAGCATACTCCTTTCCTTCGTCTTCACAGTGCCCCAGATGCCCCCGAGGAGCCCCAACACAGCCCAAGAGAGACCTAAGAGGGCTCAAGACGGCCCGAAAGGGTCGTCCTGTGGGGCTCAGGGAACCCCCCAAGACGGCCCAAGAGGCCCCGAAGCCGGCCCAGGAGGCCCCCAAGACGGCATCAGGGAGGCCCAAGAGAGCCTCTTTCGACATCATGTTCCCCGAAACCTCTCCGGGAACATGACTTCCGGGCTCCCAGGACGCCCAAGAGGCCCACAAGAGAGCCTCAGCGAGGCCCAAGAGGGCCCGAGATGGCTTGAAGATGGCCGAAGAGGGCCCCGAGAGGGCCTTCAAGAGGCAAACATCGGCCCATTCCCCACGTAAAACGTACATTCTTAGCATACTCGCTGGCTTTGTCTTCACAGTGCCCCAGATGCCCCCCGCGGAGCCCTAACACAGCCCAAGAGAGACCCCAGAGAGCCCAAGACGGCCCAAACAGATCGTCCCGTGGGGCTGACGGAACCCCCCAAGACGGCCCAAGAGGCCCCGAAGCCGGACCAGGAGGCCCCCAAGACGGCATCAGGGAGGCCCAAGAGGGCCTCGTTCGAAATCATGGTTTTGGAAGCCTCTCCGGGAACATGATTTCCTGGTTCCCAGGACGCCCAAGAGGCCCACAAGACAGCCTCAGCGAGGCCCAAGAGGGCCCGAGATGACTTGAAGATGGCCGAAGAGGTCCTGTGGGGGTGACGGAACCTCCCAAGACGGCCCAAGAGGCCCCAAAGCTGGTCTTGTCAGGGTGCGCGTGCCCCCCCGACCCCGCTGGACCTCTCAGGAGCCCACGAACGCGACCTCGGTCAAGCAGTTCGCAGCCTTTTCGGAAGCAGCGAGGTCTCGTCTTGGTGCACGCGGCCCCTTGCTCGCTCAGCTGGATCCCCCAGGAGATCACAAGTGGCGGCAGTCTCGCAGTTCGCAGCCACCCAGGGCGCAGCGAGGTCTCGGCTGAGTGCACGTGGCCCCCGGCTCCGCTGGACCTCCCAGGAACCCACGAAAGCGGCGAACTTTGCGCAGTTCGCAGCTACCCAGGGAGCAGCGAGGTCTCGTCTGGGTACGCGTGGCCTCCGGTTCCGCCGTGCCCCCACAGAGCCGACAGTTACGGTACCCAGTTCGCAGCCCCCCAGAGAGCAGCGAGGTGTCGTCAGTCGTCAGGGTGCGCGTGCCCCCTTTGGCTCCGCCGTGCCTCCACAGAGCCCACGAAAGCGGCGACAATTATGCACTTCGCAGCCACCCAGAAGGCAGCGAGGTCTCGTCTGGGTGCGCGTCCCCTCCCCCCGACTCCGCTGGACCGCCCAGGAGCCCACGAAAGTGGTGGCGGTTGCGCAGTTCGCAGCACCCCCCGGCAGCAGCGAGGTCTCGTCCAGGTGCGCGCGGCCCCCGACCCAGCTGGACCTCCCAGGAGGTGACGAAAAGGGCGACAGCTTCGCAGCTCGCAGCCACCCAGAGAGCGATGTCTCGTCTGGGTGCGCGTACTCCGCAACTCGGCCGTGCCTCCCTTGAGCCCACGAAAGGGGCGACGGTGGCCCCTGTTGGGGGGGCAGATGGCCGCGCCGTGGACCCAAAGGTCGGCAGCAACAGCAACAGGAAAAGGACGTGGAGGAGGAGGACGAGGAGGAGAATTCGGCTGACGACGACGGTGGGGACATGGACGAGGACGAGGACGAAGACGACGGCGAGGACCGGCTTTGAACGAGGATGCTTGCGTGGCGGATGCGGCAGAGGAGGATGTGGCAACCTTGGTGCGCTCGCCCCCCATGTCCTACGTCATATCTCTCTTTCCCATCCCTTGACATTGCGTAGAGTCCCTGTCCGTTAGCACCGTAAGATGTTGAAGAGGACAGCGACGCCCAACAGATGCGCGATGCATGGCGTGGCATCGCATTGCGCAGCCAATCATTGCACAGCATAGCAGTGCAGCGCAAGGCATGGCATCGCATATCGGTACATCACACTGGCATGCCATTGCATGGCACCCATGGTTGTATGAACGGTGCAGCCAAACAACCATGTTGGAGGACCGACACTTTGGAGATAAGGCCAGTGTTGCACTGGAATCACAATTCGAAATGACCGAGAACGCGGAACAGAGGCTGAAACTGATGCGGGAACAACCATTCGGAACGACCAAAAACGCAGAACTGAGACCGGCGTTGCAGCACGAACACCATTTGAAATTACCGAAAGTGCGGAGACGAGACCAGCGTTGCAGCGGGAACGCGATTTCGGAAAACCCGAAACGCCGACATGCCGCCAGCGTGCAGGGGGAACATCATGTGAAAATACCCGGAACGGTCGGATTGGAACAACACACAAGATACGCAAGGTCCCCCTACATCGTGTGTTCACAACACCATACGCGGAAGGGGGCTGTTATCTCAGCGCATGCCGGGGGGAGTGAGGAAATGGTCCTCATACTGCGTATTTATTTAAAAGAGGAGGAAAAGAAGAGAGGAGGAGAGGGAGGAGGAGGAGGAGGAGGAGGAGGAGGAGGAGGAGGAGGAGGAGGAGGAGGAGGAGGAGGAGGAGGAGGAGAAGAAAAGGGAGGAGGCGGAGGAACGCCGCTGCCTTTGGCGGGCAGGCCTTCCGCCCCGCCTTTTCCGAAGGGGCGGGAAGGGGGCTTGAGCGGGGGCGAAGGGGCCATGCGTGGCGCCCGCTGGCCTTGCGCAGTGGCCACGCGCCGAGGCGGCCGCGACACCGCCACCAGCTCGGGGACCGCTGCGGGCCAAAACCGGGCCTGGGCCTCTCTGCGCAGCGCCGCGAATATTCCCCTGCGCAGAGAGGAAGCGGGGAGGAGGGAGGAGGGAGGAGGGAGGAGGGAGGAGGGAGGAGGGAGGAGGAGGAGGAGGAGGGAGGAGGGAGGAGGAGGAGGAGGAGGAGGAGGAGGAGGAGGAGGAGGAGGAGGAGGAGGAGGAGGAGGAGGAGGGAGGAGGAGGCTGCCACCCCAGGTTTCTGCAGTGGGGGCCATCCCTGAAGCAGTCAGCATCGGGTCACCCAGTACGTGGTCATCCAGGTTCCAGTCCCCATGTCAAGTGCGACCACCGCCCTGTGCGCGGGGATGCGCCAGTGCTGCGGCGCTGGGGCGGCCGGTAGGAGAGCCATTCAAGACTCTAGGTGTGTTGTTTAACGCGAACTTGACCATGAAGGAGGCTATACACGAGTGTCCTGGGGCCCTCTTGGGCCAGTTGGGGGCCTTTTGGGCTGGGGGAGGAGGCCCGGCACCGAGCGCCGGCTCCGCGCCATGGCGGGCGCCGGCCCCCCGCCGGCGCCGCCGAGCGCCGGGCTGCCGCCGAGCGCCCCCGGCCGCTGAGGTGACGCCCGGACCGGAGGCCACAGGGCGGGGGCCCCCAAAGGGTGCGGTGGCCACACCGCACCCAGGGTTCGGGCCGAACGAAAGGGGGTGATAGTCACCAGCCTCGAACGTATGCCTATCCCTAAGATTGACGCGCTAAGAGGAGATGACAATCTTAGAGATACACCCTCAGAAATTGAGGGAATCCCTAAGATCACCATCGTGATGAGGCGATGCCCAACATAAGGATAGGGATACGTTCCAGGCTGGTAAGATAGGGAAGAACGGGGGCCACGGGGCTCTTGCCGCACCCAGGGTCCACGGGCCGAACGAAGGGGGGGGAGATAGGGAAGGGGGGGGGTACGAGATCTGCCGCATGCAGCTGGTTTCGGCCCCGCCGCCGGGCCCGTTCCTCGATACACGGGCGCCTTCCGGCGCCGGGAGGCGCCGGGAAAATCAGCTACGTGCGCTGATTCTCACCCCCCCCCTTTGCTATCCCCCCTTTCGTTCGGCCCGAAGGGTCCACGGGCCCCTGGCCGCCCAGCCGATCGCCGCGCTGGGCGGAGGCCCCACAGGCTGCTGCCGCGCGCCGGGCGCAGGCGTTCGCGGCTCTCGGCATCGCCGGCTCCGACCACGAGGGCTTCGACGAGGAGCTCGGGCGCCTCGGAGCCGCTGCGCCGTGGGAGGCCGACGCGCCGGCCGAGGCCCAGCATCGGAGAGCACCGCCGAGTCCGAGCATGCCGCTGCTGCGGCGGCGCGCGAGGAGCCCCTCTGCCCATGGATCCTGCCATCCGCACGGCGCCCGTGGCAGATGCCTCGCGGGTCCCGAGCCGAAAAGTGCGATGGATTGCAAAAAACCCAAGAATTGCAAAAAAAACCTTCGCAGGATTGCAAAAAACCTTCGTAGGATTGCAAAAAACCTTCGTATGTTTTTTTTTTGCAATCCTTGGTTTTTTGCAATCCTTCGTTTTTTGCAATCCGGGTTTTTTTGCAATTCTTCGAGAAAGCCCATGGGATTCCTCAGGACCCTGCCGACCCGCTGGCGTCCTGGCCCGGGTGGGCGCCCCTCCCAGCCGACCTCTGCTGCGAGCCCCGGGGCGCAGAGGAGACCCGCTGGGCGAGCCCCGCGGCCAGCGCCGCGCGCCGGGTGCGCTTCCACAGTGGGGTTCGCCGCCTGACCCCCCGATGGCCTCCCATTTCCCCCCGTCGTTTTTGTCTTCCCCTCTCTTCTCCGGAGGGAACAAAAAGCGAACGGATACAAGTCATCGTCAATTCCAACGAAAATCTGTGGAAACATGGGAAGTGTGAGGAGGGAAGTCAAAAGCCAAGGAAATATGGGACATTTGGGGAATCCTGTTATTTGTGTGTGTGTATTTATTTGTGTGTCCCAGGGACCCTTCATCTTCCCCCTGCTGCCTGGCCAGGCTGGGAGCGCAGGGGCCCTCGCCGCAGTCGTGTCGCCGCCTGCCTGCCCGCACAGACCACTGGGGTCAGGGCGAGGAGGGCGAGGAGGGCGAGGAGGGCGAGGACGAGGAGGACGAGGAGGACGAGGAGGGCGAGGAGGACGAGGAGGGCGAGGAGGACGAGGAGGACGAGGAGGTCGAGGAGGACGATGAGGGCGAGGAGGACGAGGAGGACGAGTAGGACGAGGGCGCTATCCCGAAAAGAATCAGCAGAAAAAACGTGAGCGGGAAGCAGGTCGGGGGTGAGCCGTTACAGGCGAGGGCCCCCGGTGGGCCCAGGCCGCGCACGGCCACCTGTCTCGCACCGTGCATCCAGCGCAGGGAGCAGCCTGCCTCGCCCCACCTCGCCACATCCCTGTCTTCGTCGATGTATTTTACCAGGGGAACGAGCCCTGCCATAAGCATGATGACTCGCAGGTCCGCCGCCTCTGGCGCGCCCCGCGCGCCAGGGAGGGGGGTCCAGCGCGGGTCCAAGAAATCCGCGTGGACGTCCGAGTTTTTATGCTCACGTAATTGTTCTAATTGTCCCCTACTCACGCTCCTCGCCTCCCTCCCCTCGGGTTCCGCCGGCTTGGCGGCGGTGTCCCGAGACCCCCCCATCGCCCCTCTCCCTCGTGCGCCCTGTTGCGAGGAGCGAGTGGGCGCCGCAACCCGCGCGCCCCGGCGCGGGCCGAGGCCCAGCAGCTATTCATCCAGACGGGGATCGGATCGGCCTCGCCCCTGCTCTTGGGAAGGCAAAACCACGACAGCTTGCGATGCGCCACCAGCCCCAGGCATCGCACTTGGCTGCGTCGTCGGAGATCGGGGAGGAGGAGGAGGAGGAGGAGGAGGAGGAGGAGGAGGAGGAAGTGGAGGAGGAAGAGGAGGTGGAGAAAGAGGAGGAAGAAGAGGAGGAGGAGGAGGAGGAGGAGGAAGAGGAAAGGAAAGGGCGGTTGAGGAGGAGAAGGAGAAGGAGGAGGAAGAGGAGGAGGAGGAAGAGGAGAAGCAGCAGCAGGCAAAGCAGGGGTGGGTGGAAGAGGAACTGACGGAGGACCAGACTCGTTATTCGAAGCCAAAGCGTGACTGCAGATTGTTTTTTGTTGCTGCTGGGCGGGGGGGGGGCTCCCGAGGCACGCGACGCCAAACGCGCGGCCATGAGGCAGGCGTTCAGCAGCGCAGGCCCCCCGTTTCCCATTTCCGCCCCCTGCGGGGCCGCCCGCCGCGCCCGCCCCGCGGGGGTGGGGCGGGCGGGCGGGTGGGGGGGTGGGGGAGGGGAGACACGGAGGGAGGAGCAGGGGGGGGGACAACGAGGGGAGAAGGGGAAGAGGAATGGTGGGGAGGAGGATGGGGAGGAATCGGGAACGAGGGAGGAGGAGGGAGGAGAGAGGGGCAAGAGGGGAGGGACGGGGGTGAGGGGAAGAGGAACTGTGGGGAGGAGGACGAGGAGGAATGACGAACCAGGGAGGTGGGGCGAGGGAGGAAAGAGGGCAGGAGGGGAGGGGAGGGGTTGGAGGGGCAGGAGGAGATGGGGAGGAGATGGGGCGGGGTGTGTGGGGGAGGGGGGGGGACGGCAGTTGGGGAGAGGAGGAAAATTTGTGGGATGTGAGGGAAATCAGAGGGCTGGAGGAAAAGGGAGCGGAGAGGACAAGGGTAAGCTAGGCACGCGTGTCCCATATCTAATGGTTTACCTTTCCCGTCCGTTTCTTCCCATCCTGTTGAATTGTCTCCATCCTCCGACTGGTGTCCTAGCGGGCCCGGGTCCCTGAATTGATTCCTATCGCGTGTTGTGCAATCAGAGTGTGGAATTGTGTACTTTGGCGAAGGAGGAGGACGAGGCGGACGAGCAGGAGGATCAGGAGGACGACGAGGAGGCAGTTGAGGTAGGTGGAGGAGGAGGAGGAGGAGAAAGAGGGAGGAGGAGAAAGAGGGAGGAGGAGGAGGAGGAGGGGGGCAACAGAAGCGTTGGGGTTCGAAACACAAATGCACACACATTCTTGGTGGAGATCCCCGCGCAGTGCTGGGATTGGGGCCACACCCTCCCTGGCGGCGCGTCCTGCGCCGCCCTTGCAGGGGGGGGATCCAGACGTCGATCCAAGGAACGAGCGCTGAGATCCGAGGGTATGCACTCACGTATGCGTATGCGGTATATCTCGCTCTCAAGGCATGTTGCGCCTCAGAGCCAGGTGCACAGTTGACGTGCGCTCCATGTCTATACTGCGGACTCGGCACTTCGCAGGCACGTTCCATCAGCAGGAGACGGGGATGAGGAGCAGGAGCCTGTAGTAGGCGTCCCCCCGGACCTGCCTGCAGTGCCCTTCGGGTCGCGAGGGCCTGTTGGTCGGCTGATGCTGAGTCCATAAGGAGCAAGTCCATGCGGATGCGGAGTGCTCGGTGTCCGTCTGTGCTTGCGCCATCTGGATTCTGCCTCTCCTGATAGGAGGTTCAGTCCATACGGAGCAACTCCATGCGGAGTGCTCGGTCTTCGTCTGGTCTTACGCCATCTGGACTTAGCTTCCCCTGGTAAGAGGCGAAGTCCATAAGCAGCAAGTCCATGCGGAGAGTTCGGTCTCCGTCTGGGCTTACGCCATCTGGACTTAGCCCCTCCTGATAGGAGGCGAAGTCCATACGGAGCAAGTCCATGCGGAGTGTTTGGTCTCCGTCTGTGCCTACGCCGGCTGGACTTCGCCTCTCCTGATAGGAGGCTATGTCCATACGGAGCGAGTCCATGCGTAGTGTTCGGCTTCCGTCTAGGCTTACGCTGTGTTGACGTTGCCTCGTTTGATAAAAGGTTAAGTCCATACGGAGCGACGCCATGCCGAGTTTTTGGGTCTCCGTCTACAGTTTGCCTCTCCTGAGAATCGAAGAAGACACACGGCGTAAACGTAAACTGTTGGCGCTCCGCGCTGGTTTCTTGGATCCACGCTGGGCCCCCCTCCTTGTTGCGCTCCGCGCGCCAGGGGCGGCGCCGGAGGCGCCGCCATGGGGGGTCCCAGCGCAGATCCAAGAAATCCGCGCGGAACGCCACACGTTTATTGTTATGTTTTCTGTTTCGTCTTCTGGTCTGGACGATGCTCCTCAATATTTAACCCACTTAGCGGGCCGCCAAGGCCGCCCTGCGCTCGCCGCTCCACGGCGCCGACGGCGCCATCGATTTGAGCTTCTTTTTCTTCTTCTTCTTGGACGATGGCTGCCTGGCGGGCGGCGCGCCGGCCGTCGCGCGCCTGCTTCGCTCGCTGGTGGCCAACTTCGCCGCGGTAGGCCTCTCGCTGAGCACTGGCCCGGGCAAGTGCGAGGGGGTTCCCACGGGCGGGGACGCCTCCGACGTTTCTCTCGACGGCTTCCCCCCCAGGTTTCCGCATCCGCTCCGACCGCCGCTTCGAGTTGCTTGGCGCGCTAGTGGGGGACGCGACCTTCTGCGCGGAGCACCGAGAAACGGGTCGCGGACGCTTCCGCGCTGTTGGAGGCCCTCGGGGCGCTCGAACATGCGCAAGTCGCGCTGCACCTCCTGCGGCAGTGTGCCTCCTTCTGCTGGCTGAGTTACTCGGTGCGGGTGGTTCCGCCCACCGTGCACACCGCCTCCTTGCAGGCCGTGGGCGACGTTGTCCGGGCCTGCCTAAAGGAACAGGGCGGCTGCTCACCCTCTGATGGCTCCTGGCGGCAGGCTCAGCTCAAGCTCGACGAGGGAGGGCTCGGCTTGACCGCGACGCGGGTTGTTTGGCAGGTGCGGCGCAGGCCCACAAAGCAGTCGTGCGGGACGCCGACTGGGTGGAGCTTGGCCCTGCGAGCCGCCTCTGTGGACGATGCCGATCTCGACGTGCTTGTGGAGGGCGCAAATTTGGCCGGCAAGGCGCACCTTTCCCTGGTGCAGGCATCGGGCGCTGCCGCGTGCCTCAAGGCGCCGCCTTGCGAGGCAACTGGCACCGCCTTCCCGCGCAGCCTCATGCACGTCGGTTTGCAGAAGAGCCTGCGGGCCCAGCCCTTGCAGCAGGAGTGTTTTTGCCCGGCCTGTGGCGAGGTGATGGACGGCTTCGGCGACCACACCCTGGTCTGCGCCTGCCGCGGCGACAGGACCAAACGCCACAACGCCCTGCGCAACCGGGCCTTTCCCGACGCCGTGGCCGCTGGCCACGCAGGGGCTGAGTTGGAGCGCCCGGGGCTGCTGCCCCCGCGCCCCGACGGGGAGGCCACCCCTGGGGGCGAGCAGGGCGGGTCTGGCCGCCGTCCCGCCGACGTTTACCTGCCGCGGTGGCGCAGCGGCACGGCGGCCGCCTGGGGCTTTGCCGCCGCGCCCGGGTTGCTCGCCGATCTCCTCGCCGCGTCGGCCGCTTCATCGAGCGCGCCGGCGGACAGGCACGAGGAGTTCAGAAGGTTGCACTTGGACACCGCGCGGCCGCGCGCGGAGCAGGGCTTCGCCTTCCCCTGGGTGGAAACCCACGGCGGCGGGCGGGGCCGCGAGGCGCGCGGGGCCTTCGGGGCCCTGGCCAAGCGGGCGGCTCACGCCACGGGGGAAGACGCCGCACATGTAGCAGACCGACACGCCCGGCGACTCTCCATCTCCTTGCAGCACAGGGAGAACGCGCGGGCGGTGTTTCGGCGCTTCCAGATCCAGCTTGGAGGGGCGGGGGCAGCTGCGGCCCGCTCGGCTGCTTCCACGGCCGACGCCGCGTGAGCCGCCACGCTGGCGCAGACGACCCCTGGCTGGGCATCGCGGGCGCCCCCCCCCCCCCCCCCCCCCGCGCCCCTCCACGCGTGGCGCCCTGACGCCTCCCCACACTGTCGGCCGCCCCTTCCCCGGCAGGACGGTGGGCGATACCGCGGAGGTCCCCTGCCTGCCAAGCCGCAGCGCGCTGGGTTCGGCCAGGCACCCCGCGCCCTTCCTGACGCCCTTCCCGACGCCCACAACGACCCCGACGACCGCGACGACTCCTCCGCGTGACGATCTTTCCGCATGGCGACCCCGACGCCCCCGAAACGACCCCGATGGCCTTTCCCGACGACCGCGCCCACCATCTGGACGCGACCGCTTCCTGTCGCCGCGAAAGGGTCCGTAGTTTCGCCGCGGGCGGCCCTTCCCTCCCGGCCCCTGGCCAGGCCCTTCTGCGGCCCCCCATCCCATCCTCCTCCTCCTCCTCGCCCTCTTGCTCCCCCCTTCCCTGCTTGCTGCCCCGTCACCGCTCCTGCCCGCCTGCCTGCCTCGCCCCGCCGACCTTGGCCTCCCGCCTGCGCGTTCGTCCTCGTTTGTTTGTCTCCTTTTCCCCCCCCCCTCTCTCTGCGTTCCGCCTGCGAAGTATCCACAAAGGGTTCGCGTCCCCCCACCGGGCGGGCATCCGTGTCGGGGTCGCAACGGGGCTATCGGACGCGGCGTTCGGCGCCCCATCCAGAGCGACACCTGTGGGGCGATCTTGTCGCGTCGCCCGACGCTTCGCAATTTACGGCCGCGCGTTGCCTCGCTGAAGTCCCCGTCTTTGCGGTAGGGATACGGGCTGTTTGGCCCGATGCATCTGGGGGGGGGGGGGCCCTACTCCTAACGTCGCTGGCCCTCCTAACTTAGGCGCCCCCTCCAAAGGGGTGGGGGCCCTTTCTTTGTTGATCAGTTGCCTCTCAACGAGCGGGTCCGGACCCGGGGGGAAGAGGCGCGAAGGCAGGCGCGGGGTCGGATGGCGGGCCCCGTCGGGAGAGAAAGCAGGCGACAGCGAGCGAGCCCCCGCGCCCCTCGCGACTGCGCCCTCCTCCTGCGCAGCACGCCCGCAACATCGCTGCCCGATCTTCCCCACGCAGAAAGCGCGAAGGCGCCCAGCGTTCTCCCTCCTCCTCCTCCTCCTCGCGTAGAGACTGCACAACAAATTGTGGTTTGGATCGAGGACCAGATGGGCAGGTTTCCTACCCGCACCGCTATCACCATTGGAGGCGACATCAATTCGGGCGCAGGCTTGCACAGAGACGGAGACGACACTGTCATTGTGGATCGGGGAAGGCATCGCGGCAGAGTCGAACCTAAGCTGGATATTCAGAGTGGCAAGCAGTTTCGAGAGATGCGCATTCGGAACGAACTCGCTATACGCACCATTTGTTTCAACACAGGCCCGACCTTCTATGGATGCACAGGAGGCAGCAGCAGGATCGACCACCTCGTCATCTCTGCAGGGCTCCCCCACGCGCAACCAACTGCCCATGCCTGC